GAACCATGGTGCTCTTTTTCTCACAGACGGTTCCCAACTGCCCCTATTATACTGTGCGGTCGACAAAATCAAAAACAAACAAAGCGCATGCGCGAAATTACAATTATAAAATGGCGACAATTTACCCATCCACCCTGTATATCATTCGAACACAGAATAAAACTCGTCTTCTCTGCGGATCGTCAAATTGCTCAATAACAGTCATATTTATTGTATTAATAATGGAAATATAAAGGCTTATTCCGGAGATGATATAGTATCATATTTACCAAAGATCGGTGTTTAAAGTCATCTCTGTGCAAGACCAGGTGTTTTCAAACTACGGCCGGGCACTATACATTGGTACGAAGGTGCTGAGATAGTAACTTGGAAATTTATGGTGAAGGTTGCGTGACCGAATTAATCAGAAAGAGTCCATCACAATGAATCATTTGAAGGAATGTTTGATCAACCATTCAAGATGGTAATGGTAATATGAGGAAACATTCAGTATTTATTGACCGAGCATCCTACTGTCAGATTTATAAAATATTTCTATCACCACTGTTTTTCAGGAAATCATGTTTCTCAAGTCCAGTAGCTGTTATTGCTCTTTACAGTATTGATGGGGGGCGTTTCTTCCTAACCCTTTTTATAATAGTATGGAACGTCAATATCGTAATGATATAATTATTTTCTTTTTAAGTTACATGTTATATCCATTTTAGTTGTTGCCGCTGTTGGAAGTTCTCAATTGTTCTGGTTTCTGTTATCTGGTACAGTTTGTTTTTTGTTCATTGTGTAGCGCAAGTCCACCAGGTTCAAAAAAGGATGGCACTTTCTAAGAACAACAGGTTTCATTCGCTCGAAGCCACCTTTAACCATCGATCTGGAAAAATGATTGTATACAACTGACTATTTAGATATTTTTGGAATGAGTTTGGTTCTATGCATGACATCCATATGAACGTCTGGATCTAAGGAGGTTATTTAAAAAGATGACTTGAGCTTTAGGTTAATGTTTGGGCTTTGTAGCAATTTGCGGTGTTGTGCGAAACTATTACCAACGCAGCTTACATCTATGTTCAACTTCTTTATAATCTAAAGTAAATTTATTATAACTGAGGTATTTGAAATATTTAGTATTTACTAATTCCACATCCTGAATTTTTGTGATGGATTCAGGATAGGTGTCATCATTGCTTTTATTCCAATTCCAGATCAAAGTTTTTGTTTTCGAGTGGTTTATCTTGAGTCCTAATTCTTTGAAAACTTGATCTCGGAAGTGAAAGACAGATCGTCGTCTTTTATTAGAAGATTCGTTTGGGATTTTGTATGGAATGCTTAAATGATCAGCGCCCATCTCTTCACGTTTGTGTTTGTAAATGCGTAGGGCATAATTTAGGAAAAGTAAAGTTGTATGAGAATTCAACGAAATGCTAAATATATAAGGGAATTTAGAAAACTTCTACTCTGATAATTTGATCACAATTTTGTCCTGGAAAACGCCAGGCCATTTTAATAAAAATACGTAAAATTCACTCAAATGAAAATATAGGTAAAGTACCACGATTTATGAGTCCGCTGTGACTGAGATATTTCAGTTTATCTTGTATGTTACTAAATTAGCATTGAAACAGTGCGGTGTACGTATATGAATTATGGTAAAGATAAAATGATCAATAAATAATAAAAAAAAAACAACATTTGTCTATATTTCTCAGATAAGCTATGGTAACTTTTTACAGTATTTACATTGTTCAGACAGTTATTCTCATCTTTTACGTATATCATCTCCCAACGTATATCACCTGAAAAAGGCCGGAGTGTACAACAACCGAAACGTCGTGAATATGACAACAAAGATGAGGACACCAGTCCGAATAATATAAATAGTGTAAATAAGAGACACGTGAAATTTATAAGGCATATAATAAAGAAAGATGGCTTGGAGAATTTGACACTAACAGGAAGTACTGAAGGCAAGAGGTACAGAAGAAAGTATCGAAAACCTACCTAACAAAAGGGGAAGAAAGTTGTGTGGATACATCACATAGAAGAAATTAGTAATTCTACATTTATAATTTTTATGGTAGATTCTAGGTTTTGTTTTCGAATGGTTTATCTTGAGTGCAATTTCTTTGACTACTTAATATAAGATGTTGATTTTTTGTTTAAGATCATTCTTATCCCAACTATGAATACCTATGTCATCAGCATGCTCCACTTCATCATCCGTATATTGGCCTCGGCTGGTGGGGGAATAATGAACGCCGTTCCCTATTTATAGATTCGTTTGTTGCGAAGAACTTGTTAAGGGTTATGGAAAATGTTTTTAAACAATAATTGTAAACCAAGAATCTGAAACTAATAAAATCACTCCGATTACTTTTTTTTCTAATATTACTATTCTCTATATTTTATTCTAGATTCTATCATTGAAAATACGTATGTTTTCTTAGTCATTTTTGTATCCGATGTATCCTCTCTGATAACTTTTGAAGTCATATAAATGTCAGAATAATAATATATTCAGTATTCTTTATATATATATATATATATATATATATATATATATATATATATATATATATATATGTCTTTGACCACCTCTGATATCAAGACTTACACTACTTCCAAGTTTTTGATTGGTCTCTTTTTCTCTTTTTGCTTTCTTTTTTCTTTTCTCTTTCTGGCCATTTTTATTTCAATAATTTATCATCTATTGACTGGTTTGAAAAATGCCTGCAAATGTTATTTCAATTTACAAATTTTTTGGGGGGGGGATTCCAAAAAAAATTTCGCTTGAAGATGGAACAGAGCTTACTTTAATTCAATTTAATTCAAATAATTATATTGAAGTTTTCGGCTCTTGTTTTGAAACATGAGACCTCTTATGTCGCGAGTTGGAATCATATTTTTACATTAATAATTATATTTATGCTCTACTTTTGTATCGAGCACTATTTTTTAAAAATAATAACAAAAATACTAAGGAACCTTGGTTTATTTATCTAACCAGTTCTTTCCTATTTTCTATATTTTCACACACACACACACACACACACACACACACACACACACACACACATATATATATATATATATATATATATATATGGAATCATAATTCCCTTGAGAATGTCACGGTCAGTGCTTCAGTGCGATGAAAGTCTGTCACTTAACATGAACTATCGATTCTTATGTATACGCTGCCTATTTCTACTTTCTACAGCAGTTATTTTTTTTAAAATAATCGAATACCTTTTTAAATAAACTGAATATTAATCACATAGAATGAATATGTAACATCAAAATTCCTCTAATAAATATATATCTAGCTAGGCACTTAAGTATACAGATTCGTTTACGCACACACACACACTCATTCTCTCTATATTGCTCACACACATACACCCTACCCGCTCGCTTTATATATGTATATATGACAAGAATCTTGCCAAAATAAAAGGAATCCCTTACGTTATCTCCATCTGTTAATTTTTTTTTTATCTGCTGCCATTTTTCTTTAATGAAAATTTCTGCCTTTCGATCCTTTTTGTTCTTTCATCAAATGTTTATGGAGCGTACAGCTGTCCTGAATGAGAAGAATCCACGAATTTGTTTTCTTTTTATCAAAACTGCAACATAAAAGATGCCGATGGCGTCCACATATGTGTGACATGTTCAAGAATCGAGTGGAATGTCAAAACAATAGTAAAAGGCAAATCATCAAAGAAAAGTCAAGTCTTCGGTTGACCGATCAGGGCCGTCTGACGATTATGGCGAACACATAAGAACAAAAAGCACTGGTTGGGTATTATCAGTGAATGAATGAACAAACTTAGTAAGACTATACGACACTGTATAATAATAATAATAATAATAATAATAATAATAATAATAATAATAATGTGAGTATTTATTTATTTATTTTCCTTACTTTGCAGTTGAAATTACTAGATGTGACCGCAAGTTCTATACTCGCATTTTTTTTTTCGCTCGTGGTACACGCTTCTGTGTTTTTGTTTTCCAATCAACTTTGATCTTCAATAATTTAAATGTATGTCAGTTGTCACCTTCTCTATCCTTAAACTCTCTCTCCTTTATTGTCCTCTCTCCTTAATAATATTTTTTCTCAGATTTTTTTTTTCATTCTCAGTAGCGCTTTGCGTCAAAGTGATTTTATCGCGTTGCTTGAGGTGAAATGATGAAAAAATATGTTTATATCTTTCGTGTCACGCACTATTGTTGAAACGGGATAAATCAACTTAAGGTAGTAAATTTATGAGTCGCTGCTTCTGTTAGTTATTTTAATAGGCTTTACAAATAAAATAATATCTATTAGGCGTTGGTTAGATCCAATGACAGGACCCAAAGAGTGTGAGTTCAATACCCGGTTAAGGCAGTGGAGAACTTTCAGAGGGAAAATTAACAGGAGATAACTGATAACTGACATCCATCAAACATGGCACGTGGAACTAGAACAGTCTACCCCAGTGAGCGAAATAAAGGGTTCAGTTCGACATTACAACCACCTGAAGAAGGCCGGAGCGTACAACAACCGAAACGTTGTGAGAGATATGGCGAAAAAGATGAGGACAATAGTCCGAATAATGTAAATAATGTACATAATACCTCATCTCAGAAATATAGACAGACTCATAATTATCTTTATATGAGCAAAATTAGTTCCCCAGTGAAAAAATAAATCCGTTTAGTTTAAACGTTTCGCAAGCTGCTTCAATCGTATTTGCTAAAGCGTTTCTTTCGAGGCACTCAGATACTTTTGCCTACTAAGTGATCAATTTGGTCTTGAAATAGGCTTTGTTATCGCCGCCTTTCTTGTTCTGTTACTAATCTTTATCGTTCTAGAGATGTTTCCATTTCGAGTCACTATATTTAACATAAAAAGGTATTGGGAAAAAGGCGATTGGTGCAATGCTAAGATTTTACGCGGTACGGGTACAGTAGTAATAATTAATGAGAACAGTCACAGCATATTATGGGATTCCTCAGTTCGGCCATATGACCTTGAAGCACCGGTTCTCGTAAGATTACCATAGTTAAGCAACGTCGAGACAGTTCAGTGCCTAGATTGGTGACCCCCTGGGTATACCAAGTGCTATAGAACAGCGTTTACACACACATATATATATATATATGATGAATTTATTTTTGAATTGAATGCATGCTTGGATTTGCGGTTAGTGTAATAGATCTTCTTCTATAATTCCATGTCCTTTCAGGATGTTGGCGATCATAGCTCTATACACGATTCCCTGTCCTTTGTCGCTTCTAATGACTTTTGTCTTTTTGTCATATCTCCCAAACCCTGCTTCACCATACATCCCCTGAAGCCCGCCAGATATCTTATGCCTTGTTTACCCCCAATCTGTCCTGTGAGTATAAAATGTTCCAAGCCCTATTTCCTCAATATGTACCCCAGATATTTCAATTGTCTCTTTCCTATGTTAAGCATAAGTCCTTTTTGTGCCAGTTGTCTCTAGGATTTCGTAATTGCTCACAATTTCAGTCAAGTGCGTTATATTCACTTAAGCAAAAATACCTTTGAGAACGGTGTGAATCCACATCTTCTGTTCCAATCTATGTCATAGTAGAAATTGTGATAGTAAAAATCATTATTATCCCTCAAAATTCTTACAAATAGAAAATAGTTTCTGGCTTTAAATAACCTGCAAAAAGGTTGATAAGCTGTAAAAAAAAATTAATCAATCAAAAACTCAGCTCTGACATATAATGTTATTGAAGCAGGATGGCCTGATCTTATTGTAATCGATAAGTAAATTAGCAATTGTAATATTATTGATTTTGGTCTTCACATACAAAACAAGAGTGGACTCTAATGAAAGTGAAAAACTGATAAATTCCAGCAACTGGCTAGTGAGTTGAAGAAATTATGGAACATGAATCGTTAAGGAAAATCGGTTTATGCTGTAAGTAAAAAAGATATAAAACAAAAATCAGCAAGCAAAAATTATATATGAGATGTATTTGTAAATACATTGTTACAGGTTTCCTTATGTTGTATTCACTAGAAAAGCATTTACACACACACAGCACACATACATATATATATGATGAATTTATTTTAGAATTGAATGCGTGCAATTGGAACATCACCTAGAAGTTTGAATTTGCGCTTAGAGAAAATAGTCATTGCAAACATGATTGTATACCGCCAGAAGTCTGCCATCATTTACATTGCGACGATTCTCCAAAAAAGTCCTTGAGCCGTGACGGGTCTGGCCTCAAGGACAGAATTTCATTTGAATACGGCAATTTGTAACATCAACATAGTAATAATAATATAAAATGCCCTGATTCTACACCAAGTATGGCTTTCATTGCTTTTGACGTTAAGTAGATGGAGGCGTTAAAATGCATCATGTTTTTTTTTCTTTGGGAATTAAAATGGGCTACTGTAATTAACCCGTTTAATACTATAGATTTGTTAGTCAGATGCCTGGGCGTAATCAGTTTGGCGTGTGACCTAGGAACCGAGGCTCCGTGCGTCTCTGTTCGTTAGAGGTAGTAGATGGGGAGTATCATGCCATGGTCGGAAAGTAGGGGTGTCTTATTTTTAAATTGAAGGGACAGCCAATGCGACTTGGGAGTCACATTAAGTTACTTGGGAATACATTTAATCGGAGACCTGACCTGAAGTTATTTCTAACTAACTCCCCACTTGTAAATGTGTGCGCTGTTTTAATCAAAACCTGCCAACACATCGCTCACACTTGGCTGTGAAGCATGTCCCCGGTATACTTATCAGACTGGTGTTATGGCGGCTATATTAGATTTTGTATATTTGTACCTTAGCATCACTTTGTTAACGATGATTTCTCAATAATAATAATACTAATAATAACAAAGTATGAAATTTAGTAAAGTTTGAAAATATCTCGCAAAGAAACTAAACAGAGTACCAGGGTTCATTGGGGCATTGTATTAAAACATACAAAAAATAGCAGAAATTGAATCGTGATTTGGAATTAGACCCATAACAAATAACATGCTTGCTACGAACAGCAAGCATAGTTTGATAAGTACTGGATACAGTCTGTCCATAAAAAAGAGAAATGTGCACTTTATGTCGTTAAGTCCCGGGAGATAACTTGAAAATAAACTTCTTGCTTGGTATATATATATATATATATATATATATATATATATATATATATATATATATATATAAAAGTGAACATAGAAGTCAAACTTAGAGGCGACAGTCTGTTTGATGCTATATGCAATCGTCAGGCCACGTGTGCTGACGATTGCATATAGTGGCCTGAGGATTGCATATAGCATGAAACAGACTGTCGCCTCTAAGTGTTGACTTCTATATTCACTTTTATATTTACACACGCTCTATCTCTGATATTGAGCACTTTTATCCCATAAATATAGCACATCTTAAGACTATATTTCTTTATATATATATATATATATATATATATATATATATATATATATATATATATATATATATATATATATATATATATATATATGCACATTTCATTGAATACGACAGACAAGGTGCTTTGATTTAGTTTTTTACAATTTCTCATGCGATCTAATAAACGATAAATTATATAAAACCTATCCGAATGTACTTTTATTCCAAGCGCTTTCGGCTATGCACTTAGCCATTTTCAAAGATGAAATATGTTAACTGTTAAATAAGAAATAATTTGTTGCATGTATATATTTAATAATGTTTTTATTTTTCAAAACACCATTTTTTACATGTAGACGATGCTATTATATTATTTTTATGTTTGACACGAAGACTCACTCTACACCTTTCTGATCTTGGCTCAATTAGATATCATGTAAGTATTCATGGAGACCTACCGGACACTATTCGTAACATACTTGTTGATAACACAAATATAATAGCATCATCTACATGCAAAAATGGCTAAAAATAATGGAAGCCTTATTAATAAAAGCAAAAAAAAAAAAAAAAACAAAACAAAAAGCAATACTTAATAATATCAACTATGAACATGGACACAATATCTTGACCATGTTTTGAAAAATGAAAACATTATATAAATACATACATGCAACAAACTATTTCTTATATCTTATTTTCTTTTCTTAACAGTCAAAATATTTCACCCTTGAAAATAGCTAATTGTATAGCCGAAAGCGCTCGGAATAAAAGAACATTAGGATAGTTTTTATATAATTTATCATCAGAAAAGAATATTAGATCGCATGAGAAATTGTATAAAAACTAAATCAAAGCACCTTATCTGTCGTTTTCAATGAAATGTGCATGAAAGAAAGATTGCTGCCTATATATATATATATATATATATATATATATATATATATATATATATATATGAAAGCAGGGTGTATGTGTGTATGTTTGTGTGTGTGTGTGTGTGTAACGAATGCACGGCCGCAATTTTCGACGGATTTGTACCAAAATTTACATGCACATGCTCCAAGTTAGTGAGAAGGCCAAGACCGACTTTGCATTTCCCAACTCCCACCGACAGCGGAAATAATCGATTTTTTCATGCTTCTACGGCAGTTTTCGTGTAGTTTGCGGCCATTTTGTGCTGGTCAGAGTGAGAACCAATAGCTGGCTGCCACGAATAGGCAGGAAGATTCTGTTGTCTTGCGTGAGAGCCAACAGCTGACTGACACGAATGTTAACTAGCATGCTAGCATGCAAAAAATCGATAGCTGCATTCGTCACAAGTGGGAAAAATGTAAATCTGCATGGCACTTTACTCCAATTGGCTCATTCGCTTCCTTAAACTCAACGTTGATTCTGATTCCGCAGAACTGGGTTGGGTGTGAAAAAGTATTTGTTGTTAACATTCTTTTTTTCATTCGGTTTTTCCAGTTACGAGTCCTTTTTTAAAGCTGATCGTTTTGTGTTCATTTTGTTTAGTTCTTTTTTCGTAACAGATTTAATGTTTAGTATAGAGCTTAGAAAAAATTCGCAGTGTGAGATAGACAAAAAGTAAGGCATGTAGCAACATCAGCACGGCAAAGGGCACTCCTTTAAATGCAAGGAAGGGCAAAAATATTTTAAGTCAAGTGATAGCGATTGCTGTATGAGTCGTACGATTTTTGAATCGAGCCCGGACAACGCCATGCTGCTAGTATATATATATATATATATATATATATATATATATATATATATATATATATATATATATATCGCCTTCCTTGTTCCAGTGTTTTTGACAAGCATGCACTATTGTTGTTCTATCTCCTGTCTGATTCTGCTGCGTGTTCCTGTTCATCAGAATTCGAATAATGAGTTTTGTTACATTGCTCATTAGGCTGATTGTCCGATGAAGTTCACTTTCATTTGCACCTGGCGATGCTATGAAAATAGATCTCCTTAGGCATTCCGGTATATCACCTGAGTTGTAGATTTAATTTATTCTTTTTGTAATCTTGTCTATACCGAAATCATCTAAGGCTGCCAGCCCCGCTAGTACAATTCCGTCCAACCCTGCCGTTTTATTTCTGTTTAATTTGGTCAGTGCAGCTTTGTTTTTTAATATTTCTGGTCCGTCGATATTTCGATGTATTGACGATTGTTCTCTGTCGTGATGGAAGAATTCTCCGATATATTCGTTACATCTCTAAAGAATTTTAATTTCCCTAATGTCAATTTTCCACCCTTGTCATTTTATGCACCCTGTCCATGTGCATGTCTTTTATCCTGTTAGGGCTCATTTTTTATGCATAGCTGCATTATCTGTGATACCCATTCTATGTCTGAATATTTTCCCTTGAGCTGTTCCTTTTTAGCCTGCCTGCATTTGTTCCTTATTTCTTAGTGTAGTGTTCTGTTTCGTGTCTTGGCATTGTATTTTTGTCTCTTTTTCTTCATTTCGAGAATCTCATCTGTCATCCATTTTTTCTTCGTCTATTTTTCTTTGGTAACATCTCGTTTGATGACGTTACTAAAGCTTCTCTGAGTACGTCCCATTTAAGTTTCTATTTTAATTTTCCCCTCGTATCTACCTTTAATACTGTCCATATATTTGTCCTTCAGATTTCTTCCATTCAAGAGTCTATCGCGTTCCAATTTGAACGCTTCCTTAGACGTTTTCAAT